GCTTCAGATACTGTGTGATGGAGCTAAACAGGGTCACTGGAGGGAAAAGGAATAGCAGAACAACTCCTGAGTTACTCAATAGTAAAATAAGACAGTTTTTATAATACGTTTCAGAGGTGAGAGCTAAGTAGTCTGTCTGCTTAGTAAAACAAATAAAACCGACCTGCTTGGTAGCTGTAAAATCATCTCATGTTACACTTTTACTGACTCAAAGGCCAAGTCTCTTCCTTTCCTGTCACTAGAACATTAGGAAATGCAGGAAGTTCTGAAGACAAATCTGTGATGCAGATTCATCCTTTGGGGAGTCCAGAAAGCTGTTTCTGCAAGTATCACTAAATTAGCCCTGTGTGTAGGGATGCATATATATATATATATATATATATATAAATATGCACATAATCTACTTCTCCAGTCTCTTAATTGAACTGTGGCTGGAGGCACTACAGTAATGGTTTTTGGTTTTATGTTGGAATAGTGACCCTGAGTAGCTACATTTTATAAAGGTTGGGGTTTTTTTTTAAAGAGATAAATGACACTCAAATGACTGAGTGGGTCACCCCTGTGTAATGGGTGTCACCTTCCTGTCAGTAGTGGCCTGAAAGTTTCCTTGGTAAGTTAGAGACCTCATACACTGTGCAAAAAGCTGTATCAAGATACAAAAAAGGGCAAAAGCTATTCTTATTAATTCATATTAGACAAACTCAGAACCATTTTGATTATTCTGCATATTTTATTTTAATACTATTGTTACTGTCATCTGTTGAGCTGCCTGAATGCAGCAAAAACATGTTTTAAGGTATTCTCTAATACATATTTGACAAAACCTGCTGTAGGGTAAGAGACACTCCAAACCTGCCAGATGTGAGTGCAGGGGGGAACAGCCACACACAGTTGCTATTTGGATTCTGCTGCTCTCTCTGGGTTCTGTGCCATGACTTGCAAACCTATTGGATGCAGCTGGGCCAGTGGAAGCTGATTTATTTAGGGTTTTTTTACTCATAATGCATTATTTGGATCAAGAAGTTTTCAGTTGTGGAGCAAAAGTTCAATAGGCCTGAATTTTTCCTTGTGAAGTCTGGTGTAATTTGATGTGCTATGCTAATGCATTATTTAAGAATCCTCCTTCTCAGATTCAAAACTTACATAGTGGTTGGCTTTTTCCAGCACAATATATCCTAAAAGGATATATTTAGTCCTAAAAGGATATATTTAGTCCTAAAAGGACTAAAGTCAACGTTTCCTTCGAATTAGTGTTATAGGTATTTATTTATAATCATAGTGCTAATATTTGATTTTTTTTTTAATTGATAGATTATCCTGTTATTCATGACACAAATTTATTTGGAAAAGCAAACCTGAGATTTGGAAAATTTACAGGAAAACTTACAGATCATCTGATTAAACGGGCAAGTGCTTTCTTCATATATGCCATACAACTATTTTATAGTGAACTAAGAAAATTCTGTTGTGTTTATTCCTTTTGAATTCCCTATATACATCTGGCTTAGTGCAGCCTAAGCAGTTTTCTCACTGAAAACCTTTCAGCTCTTCATTTTGCCCAGGAAATGAGTAAAACAACTAGGCTTTTTCATTCTTCCAAACAGATGGCTTTTCTGGCTTCCCTCTATACTTAAGCCATCCAGAGCTGACAATTAATAGCAGGAAGCAAAATAAGACTTTCTGGGGTCCTGAAGTGTCGCAAAGAAAGACAAATCACTTTTCAGTGACATTTCACAGAAATTGATGTGGTTGCAAACAAACTTGCTTTATATTAGCCTTCGAAATCTTAGCAGGTTAGAAAATAGCCTTTTTGCAGTAAAAAAATTTAAAAGTGCTGTTCTCACAGTGGAAAGTGTAACTTGTTTTTTTGCTGATTATATATATATATCTGTTTAAAATGTGACTTAAGCGTAGAATGGCTTCAGGCTAGCTTTAAGCCATTCAACAAGGTGACAAGGCTGTTTCTCCATAAAAAAACCAGTGTGAACGTTACCACATGACAAGATAAAATACATGTTTATAATACATTTAATATTACAAATGATGGCTTACAACGTCGGAGTCGTGGTTTTCATAGAAAGCTGGTGTTATTTACTCTCCCACAAAACTTTTCTGTCCTCTAAATGTGTGTCAGCAAGAAAAAGAAGGTCCATTTGTGAGCAGCACATCACTCCTGTGTCCAGTAGGTTTTTTGGGTTGGTGGTGATACAGGTGACACTCAACTTGCTCATTTAAATACCATCATGAAATGAACTGTCAGTAAAAAACTGAAGTGGTCATGGTAGGAATACACTGGTTATTTATGCAGTTTTTAAGCCTTTATGCAATGCTAGTGAACCTTAAATTGCTTATTTTTCTTACTAGTCATTTCTTCAGCAGCAGGGGAGGTAAAAAAATAAAGCAGTGACCATGTACAAAGTATTTTCATAATATAAATCAACCTGAGAAGGTTTCATTTTGAGATATGTTCCTCCTTTCTCACTTGGAGCTCACAAAGAATGTGTTACACGTTAAGAGCTGTAGTTAGATACATTTTTGAAATAACTTACCTCAGGAGAAAGTAAATCTAAAAGTACTTTGTTGAGAAGAATAAAGAGAGCAGAGGAAAGGAGGCATTTGATTCATACGTGTAAGAAAAAACTGAAATTGTCAGCTGTCAAAAATGAAAAATAGCAATTTTTGTCTCATATCTCACAGGACACTGCCAAGAGCTTTTCATTTTCATTGTTCATGCATAGCTTTGCCCAGAAATGAATATTTTTCTGGATGACTAATTTTGTTCTGTCCAGTGTGCTTTTTTAATGTACATGCTAAAACAAGATGTCCTGGTTACCATGGGGATACACTGCTTTTTTTCCCCCCCACCACCACTTCCCCTGGGTGTCTGTTCAAATGCCAAACCCAAATGATCAGAGATGCAGCCCTTGCTCACACGCTGTGAATGCATTTTTGTTCCCACCAATACACACACTTTTCTCTTTGAGACCAAAAGATTACTTTGAGATTTTTCAGTTGTATCAAAGGAAAAACACTCACACCCACCAAAATGCTAATCAACTGGCAACTCTTAATTCAGTCAGTATTTTCAATTAAATCTTTAGGCCAGTACTGAGGTTTACACTTTAACTGTAGAAGCAAGAAATGAGACATTTATTGCTGCCCTTGACCTGTGAAAGGCTGTTCTAACTCCTCACCTCTGGTTTTTTTTATAGCTGTGAACTCTTCTTTGAGTGAGCTGTCTTCTGAATATTTTTTAGCAAGGGAAGTGTACTCTCTCTCACCTCATTTGTTTGGAGGGTAATTAATTTGCTTTCCAACCAAGCAGTGTAGTGGAGATAATCTGTCTCTTAAACTGGGTCAGGAGTAATCTGAACTCGTTGTGTGACCTTGGCTTTGCACACTGGAGTGCAGAGCCTGCTCTGCCTGGGCTCTGGCTGGAGATGTTGAAAAAGAGACAGATCGTGGAGGCACTTTGTGGCCTTCTGCTCTGCAAACCTTCTCCAGAACACGGGAAGTTTCCTGGTCACACTTTTAACCTAAATGTGAGCAGTGCCTCCCCTGCACTCTGGATCTGAGCCCTGAGCAGGGATCTCCCCTTCAGACTGTCAGCAGTGCTGGGACCCACTCCTGTAGGATGGCAATTGGTTTGAAATTTTATTTAAATCTTTCACATCCTGTATGAGAGGGCCCTAATCACAAGCTAGGCTTGTCTTAAAACAACCCTTCTGATAGGAGTGAATGTGCCTAAAGGCTAGGCAGAAATATGCCAGATATTTATTTATTTTTTTATTTTATTTAAACACCTACATCTTACTTGAAAAGTGCTAATTTATGTTCTTCTGGTTTATATTGAACATACTACATACTGTTCAGTTTGGAGTAACAATGGAGCCCTTTATTGTGCTGTAGAAGCTGAAGGAATATGCAAGGCAGTCAAAACAGTAACAGGGATATTCCGTGACCTGACACGTCTTTATGTAGGTTATACATAATTCAAAGTATTAGTGCAGAACACTAATACCTAAGAGTGCTCCAATCAGGTAACAAAGGGATGCTTCTAAAGGAGAAAGGAAAGATAAAAGTGAGTGTTTGGACAGGAGTTCATAACATCTGTCAGGGGTAAAACTCCTCGAGTAAGATAGCTCAGTGCTGATGTGAACCCTGCAGTCAGGCAGCTGAAGAAACACCGTGCCCATGGAGTTCCAGCTCCCATTCTAAGCCCATTTAGTCAAAACTCCTGTTTCACATTGTGAAATGTTCCAGAGACTTCCAGGTTCTTGCTGTTTTCTTGAAGCTGGAGTCCAGTGTTATGCCCTGGAATAATAACATGCTCAAAGTAGCAGCAGTAAAGCAAATAAAAATACGGTTTGTTGAAATATCTTAGCAGTATTTCAGTTTTGAAATATAAAACCTCACTCAACTGAGAAGAAGAATATATTCTGAAGAGCAAAGGTGTGCTGCTTTTATGTTTAATAAATTCCAATCTGGATTTTTTTTCAATAATGTGCTACAATCTAGCTGGCATTTCATGTCTACCTGGCTTTCAAGCTTCTACTGAAATTAGAAAAAGCCATTTAAATGGGAATGCCTCATATGTGAGGAGTGGTTATACATGGCACTGAATATAGTCTAATTCATTTAATTATTAAAAATAAGTATCAGATTACTTCACTGCAAACTCTTGGACCAATTTGGATTAGATTGCTGCTGTTTTAAATATACAGGCATAAAATGCAAATAAACTAATAACTTCTGAAATTTGTTTAGCTTTTGTGATTGGCAACTTGCTTTTTCAACATGGAATATCACATATTCCAGTAACCAAAATCAACTCTCAGTGACCTGGGTGGGTTGTCAGACTCCTGAATTGTCCAATGTACTTATCCTTTCTCAGTGACTGGAGATTCATTCTCTTTAACAAAGAGCTAAAACTTGTTTCCCCCTACCTTGTTCCCACCCAGAAGAAACAAACAAAAAAAAATGATCATAAAAACCAGGCATTCTAAATTTGTGGCTGGAGTGGATTTATTTTTAGTGGATATTAGACCAGATGACCAAATACAATTATGTGCAATTTGCCACAATTGCATTTTTTTCAATTATGTGTTTAGTAATATTTTATTATAATTTTTGACATGCTGACTTCCATACTACTGTAAAGTCTTTGTCCAAGTAGTATTTCATGCAGTAAAAAAAATATTAAATGCATGCATTTTGTTACCATGGCACTAAATTTTAATAAAAGTTATGGCAAAAAGCCTGCAGTCTCTGATGTAAACTGGCTACTGAAACCACACCTGAGTGAGTCAGTAGAGTGTGTCTTCAGGCAGAATTGTTTTCATTTCGTTAAAGGTTAGACACAAACCAAAATTATTTATCTAAGCGTTTTGCTTCAGGTGAAACAGAGAACACTTTGTTGATTATAATCTTAAGGGCAATGCAGCCTTTCTCATATTTGTTCTGTATATATGGCAGCATGAATGGGAAAAAAAAACCCTCAGAGTGTAGGGCTGTGCAGGGAATACAGCAGGCAGAACTGAGAGCAAAACAGAGGAGCTATAACAAAACATGAAGTGATTCTGTGGAAGGATGCATAGCATATCTAAGCAGAAAATGGTTTAAACTCTGTTAATTTTTTTTTTGTTTCTTTCTGGCTCAACAAAACCTTTCCTTTTGTAACTTTATTTTCTGTAACTATCTACAAGAATGCAAATGCTTTTTTTTTTCCTTTCAAAAACATGTAAATACAAGATCCAACGTGCCAACTTAAAAAAAAATTTAAAATTGCTGAGATGGTAAAATAATTAGAGAGAGACTTCTGAATGTTGTGCTGAGCCAACTCCCATCCAGCCCAGGATGGTGTGTTGGGTTTGGGCCATGCTGTGGATGTTGACCTGACAGCCCCTGAGCTGGCTTTAGGAAAATTCTCCCTGCACAGCCACAGGAGTGATTCCACACGACCAGCCAGGCCAGTCCAGCTTCCCTTGAGCCAGACCAGATAAGCCTCTGGGGCTGAATCCAGCTCTAATCTCCCCTGTCCTGTGTGCCCTGTTTAAGAGCCAGGGTAGCTCCAGAGCTGTGGCCAAGGACAGGAGCAGGAACAGCTTGTTAGGGTGAAGAGAGCAGAGCTGCCACACAACTGAGCCAGATGGCCTTAGGAGCAACTTCTCAATTGCCCTGGGTTCTAACCCTTGTTAATCTTGGGGGGGTGTAAATAACATATTTGCTCTAAGTACAGGAGAAGAAATGAAGCAGTTTTATTTGAATAGATAGAAACTGATGTTGCTGCTGAAAGCAGGAACCTTGGTCCTTGCACTCTTGGGCACTTCTCCATCCATGAATGTGAGCTGAGGTTTCAGTGACATGGAGGGATATAAAATAGCATCTCAGCTCCTGATTTTGTGGAAAGTACTGACTTGGGAGGGGGCTGATCTACTATTTTTCACCTCGTCTCATTATAACTTGCCTAAAAGCTGTCACTAACACCATTATCCCTTGATCAGAATAGGACGTGGTTCTGTTTTGGTTTGGGTTTTGTGGCTGGTATTTCTTTTTCCCACTACCAGCATTGATGAGGCCAGAGGATTCATTATTGCCCTATAAATGAGGAATACTCAAGGCTGCCCATAATAAACACAACTACCAGTTACTGGTACAAGGCAGATGCTGTAGCACAGAGGAAACTGTGGCCACGAGAATCAGGAGTATGGATATATAGTTTGGGAAGGGTGTATGAGGAGCAAAGGAGATGAACTGGAAGTGAAAATGTGTTGGAGAAGGCAATATGGTGCTGCTAGGCAGGAGCATGTTCCTTTACCCTTAGGAATGATTTAATCCTGCTGTAGGATACTTTGGGGAAGGATTGCACGAGTGGGGACATCAGAATGGATGTAGAGCCTCAGCCAGCTTCCAAGCAGTTTCTCCAGGTTTAAATGTAAATCTTCTTGGGTGGAGGTCTTATTAAGCCTGCTGGATCTCAGTCCTTACTACACATGGGCTGCTTTTTTCTTTTCTGCCTATTGTTAATTTTCCTCTGCAAGGCCAACAGAGCCGAACTATCCTGTAGACACACAATGGCTGGATTAAATCCAGGGAAAAGAAGGGGGCATGCAGAGGTGGGGAATATGGAATATCCCTTTCCTTGGCACGAACCATTATCTGAAAGAAACACCACACCATTAGCAGTTGCTCTTTGTTACCTTCCCATCACTAGGCATTACTGCTGCTTAGGCAAGAAGGCAGAACGGAATATTTAAGTGAATTCAAGGCAAATCCTGGTGCAGGGTGTGGTTAGACAATACAGTTTGACTGGTTTAACGCCGTTGCCAAAACGTTCCTGCTGCCAAAGGAGGATGGATTCGCTCCTCCCCGTGTCTCACACGCTGCCTCTCCTCAGCCCCACGGAGAGCCAGTGCAGGTAATTAGTAGCTGAAAACTAACACGCCGGGAACGGGAACAGCTTCTTGGTGGTTTAGGAAGTCCCTGCTGGTTTACCCTGTGTGTAAGGTGAGCACCAGAGCGGGCAGGAGGAGAGACTGTGGGGCAGCGATGGGGGGGAAAGCGCTGCCTCTTGGATTCCGCCAGCTCTCGTTGCTCAACCGCACCTTCACAGGGCCGTGGGAATCTGCAAAAAAAAAAAAAACCAACCCACCGTCAGAACACCCAGTGAGTGCTGCGTGAGGGCACTCAGCCTTGTCTGCAGTGCAATGACACCCTCGGCCGCTGCAGCCGTTCCGCGAAGCGAGCGTATTCCCACACGGATGGCGAGTCCCCGCGGCTCGGCACGCGCGGCACCGCCTGGCAAGGGAACAAAAAAAACTCCCCTCCCTCGCGCGTGGGGTTTTTTTCAGCCGTGGCGAATCCGATCACGGGAGAAGACTTGCAAGTCAGCAAGACGAAAAGGGGGGAAAGTGAGAACCGCTTGGGAAAAGTGGGAAGAGCCGCTGAGGTTTTTTCCGCGGACTCTGCAGGAGGAGCGTCTGTGCGACCAGACTTGCAGTTTGGGCAATCAGGACTTTATTGCATCTGCTTTCTTTACGAAAGTATCGATCGGTTGAATTGCCATACAGTCAGGAACTAGCTTTAAAAGCAACTGAAAACATTCTAAGTGTTTTAGCTGAGGATTCTCTAGCAATTTGGATTTTTGTTAATTGCTCCTAGTGGAAAGGTTCTTTGAATTTCATTAGCGCTTAGCAGAAAACTCGAGCCTCTTGCGTTTTTTGGCCACACGAAGCTCTTCCAGATGCATTATAACGGTGGTGATTCAGGAAAAAACCAGTGGTTAAGGACAGTCAGAGATACACAGCATTTCCTCTGTAGGAGCGGAGGTGGTGAGGAGTAACTTGGTGATCGCACACCGGTGAGAACAAGGCAGCACCGAATAAATTTCAGAGCGCCCCCGGTTCCGTTTTACCCGTAATCCAGAGGGCTGGAGTGCCCCACGGAGCCCGCTCCCGAGGCACCGCCTGAGCCACGGCGGGAGAGAGCGCCGGGAATCGCCCCGGAGCTGCGGACGGAACAGCCCCGCTCTGGGGGCACAGGAGCGGCACTGGGGGCTGGAGCTGCCCCTCCCCGAGCCGCGCTGCCCGTGCCCTGCCTAGCAGAGCCGCCCCGCAGCTCCCACAGCCGCCCCGCAGCTCCCACAGCCGCTCTAGGGCTCCCACAGCCGCCCCGCAGCTCCCACAGCCGCCCCGCAGCTCCCACAGCCGCCCCGCAGCTCCCACAGCCGCCCCGCAGCTCCCACAGCCGCCCCGCTCCCGCTGCTGTTCCCGCTCCCGCTGAGGGCGCCCCGCCAGGCACCTGCCCCGGCCGCGCCGCGCTCCGCCGGCAGGGGGCGCTGCCGCGCGCGGGCGCCGCCGCAGCGCGGGGGGGAGGGGAAGGAAGCGGAAGGAGCCGCCGCCGCGCCGAGGGGAGCAGGCGCTGTGCGGAGCCGCCGCCGCCGCCGCCGCCGCCTGGTGCGGGCGGCACGGAGGGAGCCGAGCCGCGCGCGGGGCTGCGCGGGCCCGCCGCGCCGGGGAGCGGCCGCCAGGTGAGGGCCCGTCCCGGCGCCGGGGGGGAAGGGAAAAGGGGGGGGCCCGGGCCGGCGGCGAGAGCGGCCCCGCGCGGGGAGGGGGAAGGAGGCGGAGGGAGCGCGCGCGCGGGGGAAGCCCCCACGTGACCCGCGCGTGCGGGGAGGAGGCGGCGGCTCGCGCGCCCCGTTCGAATCAGCTGCCGGCCCGCGGCGGCGCCTCGCGCGCGTGCGCGGCGGCCCCGCCTCCCCCCCGGCCCTGACGTGTGCGCGCGGCCGGCGCGCCCGGGGCACGTGCGCGGCGCCGCCGCCATGTTGGGGCCCGAGCCGCGCGGGCGCCGTGAGCGCGCACCGTGAGCGCGCGCCGGGCCGCCGCGGGGGGGGCGGTGGCGGAGGAGGAGGAGGAGGAAGGCGGGAAGTCTCGCGAGGTCGCGCGGCCCCCGCGGGAGCGGGCGCGGGATGGCGGCGGCGCTGGGTAAATGGAACCGGGCCGGGGGCGGCACCGCGGGAGCCGCCTCCGCCCCCCGCCCCGGCCCTGCCCCGCCTCACCTCACATCACCCCGCGGCCGCCCCCCCCTCCCTCCCTCCCTCCCTCCCGCCCCGCCCCGCCCCGCGCTCGCCGCGTCCCGCCGCTCCCCCTGGCCCTGCCCGCGGCCCGGGCCCGCCCGCCGCGCAGCCCCCGGGTGCCCCTGCCCGCCCAGCCACCCCCGCTGCCCCGGCCGTGCCGCGCTCCGGCCTCACGGCGGGGCCCTGCCCCGGCCCCTCGGCCCTGTCCCGCCGTCTGTCACACCTGCCCCGGCTGTTTGTCGCCTCTGTGCTCGCTCGGGTCTGTGCGGGGAGCCCGAGCTGCTCCTGCCCCGCAGGGCCGGCGGGGTTTGGGGGTGCCGGGCTCCAGAGGAGCTGTGTGACATCCCCAGCCTGCTCCCGCTGCAGGCTCTGATACGTGCCCCCTTATCGCCCAAACTTGTAAAATACAGTGCTGTTTTCTCCTGTATTATCAAAAACTGTTCCGGCAGTATCCAAGTGTCCTAGCTCAGCAATATCTCCTTTGTCTCCTAATCCTGATCTCTCTTAAGGGAGAGCATATGGTTCTGCTTCTTCCTTATGGTGTTTGGTATTCCGTCCCTGATCATCCAGGAACGTTGGCAGTTCGTGTACTCTTGGGGTGTTTTAATAATCCAGTTCTAGGCTAGCACTAATTTTTTGGTGAAAGAATGCGTTCTTTAGGCACTGGAGTTCCAAATTTTATTTTGGAAATACGTTTGCAGTTCCTATTAAACAAACCGTAGTAGTTCTTCAGTGGCTGCACCTATGTTTGCATGTTTTCCATTGGTGTGTTCCTTATGCTGCACTAATGACATAGTGATTGTTTACTGAGGCTTTCCAGCTAAGCTCCAGGTGTACCCTGTGTTTTTACATTAAAACAAACTAACTAACTTGTGCAACCTTTTGAGAACATGCTTTTTTGGGTGTATTTCTAACCTGTGGTTAGATATTATGCTTCCTCTCCTAGCTGCTCCCAGGACTGGAGATCCAGTAGGGACTGGTAGGTTTGGGATCAGCAGAATGTGATTCTTTATGTAATCAGGTGTAACTTTTCAGAAAAGATGTTGACAAGTTACTGCTGTGGTTTGTTTTCAAGTATCTTTTACTGTACTGTCTTTTGGATTAATAGTATTTGATAAATCAAAAGTGGAAGTTCAAGGAAGAAAAATGGTGCGTGTTAAACGGCAGGGAGAAAAATGCATCTCTTAAAGTAATTTATATGTAGTAAAATGTTCAAAAAATAGCTATCAGGTGAAAGTTTTCACCCAATTGAAGTCACTCATGAAACTTCCCAAGGCCTCAGAAGGTCTTAGCAGTTAATTTAGTTTAGCAAGTCGTGCAGAAGCTTAACAACTGTGGTTTCAGGCTTTTTCCAGCGCTGTCATGCTTATCCCATAAAAAAATTCTGTGCCTTGAATTTACAGTGAGGCTTTTTGTGAAGGCCTGTTTCCCAGCACAGCCGTGTGTGTCAGTGAGGAGCACAGCACAGTGACCCTGAGCTGAAACACTGCTCACAATTGATGTGTCTGGTTGTTTAGTCTAAGGTAGGTGGTTGTTGCAGTTCTCAGTTGTGCCGCTGTTAACTGCAGTGCCTTGTCCTTTGCCTTGCACACTCCAGGTGTGCAATTACTCAGAGATGGGCTGTGTTAAATAGCTTAGTTACTAAGATATTTAATCATGAAGTTCAGTGCTGTGTCTACTTTCATTATTTTTAACATTTCTAGAAAAAGAGAAATAGCAAGTGGGATTCATTCTCTCAGTGTTGTTGGGGATTTAATGTGCAAAAATAACCAGATCTTTATTTCACAGAATTTGGGAATGTGTCCTAATAAGGGCTTTTGTTCTCCAGCTGAACAGCACGTGACTGCCCTGATGTTTATCAATGTCTCCAACATACTTGTGTGGTGAGATTACAGTCTGCTGTCCATAGTCTCATCCAGAATGAAGGCTTTACTCTCCCAGTATTTCCAGGAGACTTAAAGATTTGTTGGTTGGTTTGTCTGTCTCTGGTTCTAGATCATTCCAGGTGCTTAGGTTGACTTCTGCTCAGCGACAGTTGTGTGGCTGATACAAAGTGGGAAGACTCTGCTCTTTCACCACCTTGTTGCATAAGGGAAATAAGAAGTGTTTCTTAGTGTTTCTAAAAGTACTGGGGAAGTTGGAACCAAAGTTTTTGCTGTCTGCCTTACTTCCAATGGTGGGATTTTTCTTGTTTGTTTTTTTTTTATTTTTTTTTTTTAATTTGCTTTGGTTTGGTTTTCCCAAAAATGGAAGTCTTTACATTGTGTGGGAACTGATGACACAGGTCTCTCTGGTCATAAAGAACCAGATTTTGCAAGAGGTAATTTATTTATTGAGTATTCAGCACTTACTTATATCCACAGATTTACATTGCACTCACAGTTATGGAAATGCAGTAGCATCAGACCTATTGTCCCCTTTCTTTTGGGTTGGTTTAAAACTACTTGGATTATTCCAGACAGATATTTGTAGAACTTGTCCTTAAAAACCTTGAAGAAGAAAAATTCCGCCACCTCTGTAGGCGGGAGTGAAGTTGCAGAAAGTGAGAAACTTTCTCACTTCTGTAGGGAGGAAGGTTTGGTTTGTTTTTTTTTTTTAGTTTCCAAATTAAGTGTTCTCTGCTGGAAATCAAGCTGCTGATGATAAGAACTCGCTCCTGGTAAACTTTGCACTAACACTTAAGGGTATATTGTTCTAGTTTTAAGAACATTGTAAATATGGTGTCTGGTTCAAAACCTGCTTTGGTTGTAGAAGAACCATCATGAGAGTTTTAGTTTTCTGAAAACCTTTCTGTTTGAGTAACTCATGAAAGACACTGAAGAAATGTAGAGCTGAACACTAAATAGTGTGTTCTCCTTATTGGACACTGCTTTTCAAACAAAAAGACTATTAAAAAGATTCCCCTGCGAAGTGCAGCTTTGTAATCAAAATACTTGGGATTTGTAGTGTAGTAGGTTGATAATTTGTACAGTTTGTGTTCAAAATTTGTGCATCAGTTAACAGTTTGCATTTAATTACTTTCCCTTATACAGTTTGTTGTATGTTCAGTCAAAATGCTTGGTAGCTTAACTTCCAATAACTGTTCTTTAAAGTTACTTCAGTGTTTTGATGCTTATAATGAATTCACTTAAACACAGAAATACAGAGCTCAGCCGGTGCAGTCCTCTGCCCTTTGGAAGCCTGCAGAGATCATCCCTCTGATGGCAAAGTTCCTCCTTGTGTTGCCTGTTTCAGCAGTTCCATCACCCCATGGTTGGAGTTTTACCTGATACTCCATTTAAATATTTTTGCTTTGCACATTAAGCTTCGTGTCTTGTTGACTCAGAAGAAAGTTGATTCTCCCCCTAGCAGTGTTTGACATTGCTGGGAGCTGCTCTCCAGTTTTTCTGGGCTGTTGAACTTCATCACAGGATATAGGAGTAGGAATGTTGGCAATTGGATTGTCCAGGATTGACAGTCTCTTGTCATGAGAAATAGCTGATTTGTGTGCCTAAAATGGGGTGATTTAAACTTAAAACACTTTAGTTTGAAAATTTAAAAGTCAAAAAGGAAATGAGTGTTCTCGAGAGTTTACCTGTTGGTATGTAAATGGAACATCCTGCTTTTTGTTGGTGGTGGTTTTGTTTTATTAGTGTGTAGATGTGTGTACCTGAGATCTGAATTTTTTGGAGTTAGTGGTGTGTGGGAGAGGGGGGTTGTGTGTATTGAAATGTCTCTGTAGTATCTCCAGTACAGGAAAGAAACCCAGGGATAACCCAAATTCAGAATTGGAGGAGCTAACAACTGGGTTACTGTGCCACATACAAATAAATTAAAATGGAGAGTTGGTAGAGCCTCCCCTGGATATTAATGTTTGAAACATTCTCTGCCTGTACAGAGGATGTGGAAGTCAGGCACGTTACCTCCACAGCTGAGGAATCTACAAACACCAGAAACAGAGACTGTCAGAGCAGATTTGCCGTGCTGGTTAATCACTTATTAATGAAATGCTTTAAGGACATACAGGATTGAAGACACAAGTGTGAATTGTGCAGGTGTGTTTTCTGAGTTAATTCCTGTCTAGTCTTTCAGTTTGTGACCTGGGTGATAGAACAAAGCAGATTTACTGACTGCCTGGACAGTACAAATCTGGGAAGGAACACAGGCATTAGAGTGTGAAATGATCTTGATAAATTTGATGAATGAGCTGAACTCTGTGGGATGGAGTTCAGTAAAGAGAAACACTAAATAGTACCTTTGAGTAACCATAATAAACTTAAATATGAG